GAGCAACACGTGAAAGTGCCTAGATGAAAATGAATGCATTGAATCAAAAAACGAATGCAAATCCGTATTTTTTTCCAGCATGTACTGTCTTCGGTAATCTGTGAATATCTCAAGTTTCCAGTATCGGATTGACACGATTCAAAATGCGTTGGAAAGCTAAGAGATAGGGGTATAAATTTTAAGAGACTACATCACCCAATTATGCTTGTAACATGTTCAAAACTGGAGATTAATATGAGTGACGTGAACTGTCCACTGGAATGAATCAAATACCTTGTTGCTGTGCATGTATGTGTCCTTGTGAGCTATGAATGCATGATATAGTGAACTTTAATATTTAAATATTAAAACTAAAATGAGTGCACATGAATTAATTAAAAATAAATGATAACATGCTGTTATGTTTAATATGAATACAAAAACGTGCTCAACAATATGAATGCACATGAATGGTAATTATAATTAAAAGAAAACATGATGTTGTGCTTAACAATGTGAAAATTACTAGCATTAAAATGAATGCATGGAATCACACGAATGCATGTTGCTTATTATTAAAATATGCTTAGATGAATGCATATGCAAATATAACAATATGGATATGATGATGATAAGTATGCTAAATGATGTTCATTCAAAATTAACATGAAATAATTAATATGCATGAATGATATGAAAAACTTATCCTACATGTTGATCATACTTAAATACTTATATGCAAGACATGTAATGCATAAATAAGTAAATATAAAATAAAATAAGGAAGAGCTCCCTTAGATTGATCTTGATAGAACTTCCTTGACGTGTTTACGTCATGGAGGAAGTCGGAGCTAAACAGGATCGTATCATCCTCCCTTTCTTTGAAGCGATTTGTCCTCAAATCGAAGGGTGACTTCTCCTTAGCTTCTTCCCATTCAAATGTTGCTGATTCGTCTTGAACCAGCTTGTCGTCTTTTGGTCGGTCAAGAGTGATGTCTTTGGAATCGTCCCAAGGTGGATCTTTAATGAGCGTTGGTTGCATAATGATGGAAAACTCCTTTGGTTGTGGAATTTCCTTCAATATGTGCAATGTACATGGATTGTCAAATATCCCATTCCTTTGCAACTGAAGTGGTATATCCTTTGGAACGTCATAGGGCATAACTATTGTTTCTTCAAAAGACATGTTTATTGAATCTTCAATTTGGAGTGGCATGTCTATTGGACTGTCCTGCAAAACAAAAGAATTAATTGGAGGAAAAGAGTTGTTAGTTGAATCATGTTCTCCATTCTCCTTTTCTTCTCCATTGTTTCTCGAATCAATCTGATTTTCTGCTTGTTCTTCTTGTTGTTCTTGCAAGACTTCTCTTTCAACACTAACAGTATTATTTACAATGATTCTTGTCTCCTCGAAACGTTCTTTTTCAAGGATTACTTCCATGGCCTTCGTTTTCTCCCATTCTTCTATGCGTGATTTCAGTTGAATTTGGTCCTCATGCACTTGATTTGGCAACATTGGCGCCAAAGCGATCTTCTTTTCATTATGGATGAATGAAAATCGATTGGTGAAGCAATTATGTGTTGCTCTTTTATCAAACTGCCAAGGTCGACCAAAAAGAAGGTGGCTCGAACTCATGGAGACAACATCGCACAAGACCTCATCTCCATATCTTCCGATTGAGAATGGTACAAGTACTTGCTCTATGACTTCTAACTCTTCATTTTCGTTAAATCCTCGCAAAACATATGGATTGAGATGTTTAATCGTTGTAAGTCCCAACTTCTCGACCATGTATGTGCTAGCCAGATTTGCACAACTTCCACTATCAATGGTTACAAGACATACTTTACCATTGCTTACATGGCAACGAGTATGAAATGTATTCATCCTTTGTTGTTCGTACTCCATGAAAAAAAAATGTTAGTGAAATAAAGAATGGAAAATGTGTAAAAGGACCTTACCAAGAATGATTTAACAAAACCTCACGAGTTCACTCCAAGGAAAACTTGAATGTCGCTCAACACTCGTGTTTAACTCGGGATGGCTTTTACCCTTGGTGTTCACTCTTGCCTTTTACCGCTCGATTCTCTTTATATCAAGTCCTAAAATGACTTTACTCAAAACCGTATCAAGTAGATTTTACTCGATGTGCGTCGGCTACAAAAAGGGTTAGTAAGAATGGAAGACAAATATACAAAGGTAGGCTTAGAAATAAAAAGAAAAGAAAGAAAGAAAAAAAAATTATACTTACACACGTTACTTCACAACCTTTCTATCACCACAATCAATCAAAGGCTTTCTTTGAATGGCTCGGTGATAAACTTGTTATTGAACGTTTTTTTTTTAATTTTCTTTTGCTGATTTTCGTTTTTGTTGCACTTGCTCACAATTGTACTTCTTTTTTTGTATATTTTTTTTTGTTCGTTGCTTCTTCCACCAAAAACTCTGATTACCGTAAGATACGATAATCTTGCTTGATGTACGGTGCTTCTTCCAACTAGCTCTGATGCCAAATGACGCGATCACGATCGGACCTCGTCGATCGATTGTGGATCTAGGAAGGAAGCGAAGCAACCTGCATAAGATAATGGTAACAAATGGATAGTTTACGGTGGTAAATGTGATGGTAAATGGTCGGTTTAAGAGATAGTAGCGGAAGACTCGGATTTGGTAATAATATGGATAACGAATTATGGGATGGTGAAACGATAGTATCTTAAAGAAGACTCAAAGAAGAACCGATGTTAAAGAACAACGACCCAAATTTATATTGCTTCGATAAGGGATGGTAAATCGGACTTTGACCCGCTATCTATAAAGATAGGAACCATAAGTATCAAGGTGAAAGGAATGACGCCACAAGTAACGAATTACTTGATAAGTCGATAAAAGTCACGAAGGACTCGATTAGAGAAAACTCTCACAATTTCATTAAAACAAAGTCTATCCATTACAATGCAAAATGAAGCTATTTATAAGACTAGAAATACAAAGGCTAAAATTATAACATGCATGGACGTATGGTACAAAATGCATGGCTGATTGTTTCAATTTGCATGGCCTCTTGGTGCTTGTTGACGTGGACTCCTTTAGACATAATTTCAGCTCAAATTCTTGCATGATTTTCGGTCATATGGTTGGTGGAGTGTGTTGGCCGAATCTCATTAAAAGATGTCTAGTGGAGATTAAACAAAGTGGAGACAAGTGAGCACATGGGCTGTTGGAGTGTTTCACGCACATGGTTGTCTTCAAGTGTGATTTGGCGTGTAGTGGCCTTCTTTGTGAGTGATGGTCTAGTCATGGCTGATTAAATAATACATGAGCTGTTGGAGTGTTTCACGCACATGGGATGTCTAGTGCCTCCTTTTCACGCACATGGGCTGTTCCCTTAAGTGCTTTGGCTTGTATGCTTTGCAATATAAATTTCACGTGGATTTGTCTTCATCTTTTCCCAAGTGGAGATAATAGTTTAATCAAGGAAAAAGGCTGGTGGTGAATTTCCAACCAAATTCATTCTCCCCAAATGCTCATATTCTGCCGTGAATTATTGAATAGGTGGGTGAGCCATTCTTAATCCTTTAAATGCTGGAACGTTCTGGAAATGTATTTAAAATAATGCTCCATTAACCGTGCATCATGGGGATACTCTTTGGTGTTCCTTTAATGCTCCATAAGCTTCCAAAACGTTCTCCTTTCTTTATCAACCCACATGATCGCGTCATTTGGCATCAGAGCTAGTTGGAAGAAGCATCGTACATCAAGCGAGATTATCGTATCTTGCGGTAATTAGAGCTTTTAGTTGGAAGAAGCAACGTACAACGAAAATAAAAAAAATATATACAAAAAGAGAAGTGCAAGTATAGTGCAAAGTGAAAAACGAAAAAAATCAGCAAAAGAAGATTAAAACGTTCAACAACAAGACTTATCACCAAGCCATTCAAGTAAGCTTTGATTGATTGTGGTGATAGAAAGGTTGTGAATTAACTTTGTGTAAGTAACCATTTTTTTTTTCTTTCTTTCTATTTCTAAGACACCTTTGTATATTTTTGTTTTCCATTCCTACTAACCTTTTTTTTGTATCCGACGCACATCGAGTAAAATTTACTTGATACGGTTTTGAGTAAAGTCATTTTATGACTTGACATAAAGAGAATTGAGCGGTAAAAGGCAAGAGTGAACACCAAGGGTAAAAGCCATCCCGAGTTAAACACGAGTGTTGAGCGACATTCAAGTTTTCTTTGGAGTGAATTGGTGAGATTCTTTTTATGTTACTAACAGTTATTTTGATTATTTTTATTAATCTTTTTCTTTTCATTATGTCTCGAAAGTACACAAGATCAAATGATTATACAGTAGATGACGAACGAGATTTTTTATCAAATTCTCAATTTCAAGATTTCAGTCGAGAATTGAGGAGTTTGCTCAAAGAAAGTCTCAACCCAATCATAAAGACGATGGATCGTATAATCGAAAAACGTTCTTGTTCACAAACACCTCCGCCGAAGATCAGGGGACAAATCAAGAGGAGAGACGACACTCGACCCGTTCCTACATCCAATTGGAACGAAAGATCTTACGAAGAGGATTCCAATTTCCGAAGCAATGTCAAAAGTTCAACGAGAAGAGAGCCAAGAAATTTTGCATGTTTTAATCCAGAAAGTCTAGCTCGTCTTCAAGAGTGTGTTGACAATTTCGTCAAAGAAACACAATTGCAAGAACAACTACAAAAATAAAGTGTTTGCAAAAATAAAGAAGTGAAAGTTGAAAACGACATTGAGAGCAATGAAAATAAGAAAATCGATGTGAGAAATGTTGGAGTCGAAAATGAGAATGAGAGTGAAAATGAAGAATTTGAAAAAAAAATTGTTTGTGCAAAGGAGAAAGAGTGTAAAATTTCAATTTGCACTAACAACCTTAACCATTCTTCTTCTATTTTTGGATCTTCATTGTTGCAGGAGGACAAGACGAGTACTTCCAGAAACATGATAAACACATCGCCAACCCTATTGATTATCGAGCATCGTCCATGCTCTAGCAATGTTTCAAAGAAGGACTTAATGAAAATTTCTATTCCCAAGGAACTGGTACCCAATGATATCATCAAGTATCATCCAAGGTTTAATCTTTCTAACTCTTTTGTTATTGATTTACCTACTAACTTTTATTTACTATTTGGAGGGACGATACAAAAACGTGGAATTGATGTATTGAGTTGCGAGGATAAGTATCTTTGCAATCTTGATAAGAAATTGCCACTCTCCAATTTGCAAATAAACGATTTGAAGGAAAAGCTATCCCACCATCCTCATGATGATTCAAGGAAATATGAAGTTACCAAATATGAAGTCAAGAGGTTGACCATTGGAGAAAGGTATGAGGATTCCATCCATCCTACATCAAGAAGGTCTTCAATGAGAAATCATTTCGATTTGAGGACAAATCGCCAAAAAGAAAGGGAGGATGATGTGAGCACGTTTAGGGCCGGTTTTCTCCATGACGAAAACCCCTCAAGGACGTTCTACCTTATTAACTCTAAGGGAGTAATTCCTTACTTTATTACTTATTTACTTATTTATGCATTACATTGCATATTAGTAATTAAGTTGTTTAGTATGTTAGAGTAGCTTTGCATATCATGTTTCACATTTTCGTTCAATCATCATTCATGTCAAGCATATTATTGTATCATATTAGTTTTGCATTTCATCTTAGTATTTAAGATGTTCACGTGTTATGTAACATGTTTCCATAAACAGCATACTTGTAGCTAATTTGCATTCAACTTAGTTCCTAGGTTATTCAACTAAGTTCACGTGTTGTTCACATATCATTGTGCAATTCATTTGCATTCATATTTAATTATTTGTTAGCTCATTAATATTTGTCATCTTAGCATTCATGCATATGTGTTTGTTCATGAGAAATAAAATTACTTATTCATGTTTTCACGTTTCAGCATATCACTTGTGTAATTTATTTTAACGTGTTATTCTGCATTTATGTATCATTTGCAGTGCATTTGCAATCATCCTTGCATATTTTAGTAATCATACATATTAAACATTTAGCTCATTTATAAAATAAGTTCACGTGCTCTTTAATGCAAACAAAGGCTCACAAGACACAAGACACACATGGCAGCAAGTTTTATCACTTATAATATCACGTTAATATTAGTTTATTTGCACTTGTAGGGAACACAAAGCTCATGCTCCATACTGGGCGGTTTTTGAGGAGGTTATTTAACATATTTTCATGGTACAAAACGACAACAAGGCTATTAAAATATAGCACAAGTTGGAGCAGCGTATTGAAGCTCTTATCCAACTCACTCTACGGCAATTAAGGATATGTGGGAGACAACATGTGATGGGCAGCACTTGTTCTTGTTATAACAGCACTATACATTAAAATAACTTGTTATTTTAATCATATAGGAACACCAAGTGATCAGCCCCATGCTGGACGGTTTTTAAGGGATTCTTTGAACACAAATCCAGCACATAACACGACCATGTGGGTTGATAAAGAAAGGAGAACGTTTTGGAAGCTTATGGAGCATTAAAGGAACACCAAAGAGTATCCCCATGATGCACGGTTAATGGAGCATTATTTTAAATACATTTCCAGCACGTTCCAGCATTTAAAGGATTAAGAATGGCTCACCCACCTATTCAATAATTCACGGCAGAATATGAGCATTTGGGGAGAATGAATTTGGTTGGAAATTCACCACCAGCCTTTTTCCTTGATTAAACTATTATCTCCACTTGGGAAAAGATGAAGACAAATCCACGTGAAATTTATATTGCAAAGCATACAAGCCAAAGCACTTAAGGGAACAGCCCATGTGCGTGAAAAGGAGGCACTAGACATCCCATGTGCGTGAAACACTCCAACAGCTCATGTATTATTTAATCAGCCATGACTAGACCATCACTCACAAAGAAGGCCACTACACGCCAAATCACACTTGAAGACAACCATGTGCGTGAAACACTCCAACAGCCCATGTGCTCACTTGTCTCCACTTTGTTTAATCTCCACTAGACATCTTTTAATGAGATTCGGCCAACACACTCCACCAACCATATGACCGAAAATCATGCAAGAATTTGAGCTGAAATTATGTCTAAAGGAGTCCACGTCAACAAGCACCAAGAGGCCATGCAAATTGAAACAATCAGCCATGCATTTTGTACCATACGTCCATGCATGTTATAATTTTAGCCTTTGTATTTCTAGTCTTATAAATAGCTTCATTTTGCATTGTAATGGATAGACTTTGTTTTAATGAAATTGTGAGAATCTTTGTGTGTATATTGTAAGGTCCTATATACACTAATTTTTTTTCTTTGTGTGTTGTTTTGTTTTATTTGAATTAATATGACAGGTTCTAGTGATAACCAACCAGGTGACCAACCACCAAATTTGCAAATGCAAGCCATTACACGTGAGATACAAAGAATGATAAGGGCTGAACTTGAGACTCTACATTCTAGAATGGATAAGATTGAGGGAGAATCCCAAATGCATCATCATGAAGAGATTAATGATGAAAACGAAATTGACCAACCTTTAAGACCGAATCAGAGACATGGTCGTACACTTGATGATAATTTGTCTAATATAAAAGTTGTGATTCCATCTTTTCAGGGACGAACAGATCCTGATGCATATTTGGCATGGGAAAGTAAAGTTGAGCATGTTTTCGAGTGTTATAACTACTCGGAACAAAAGAAGGTTCGTTTAGCAGCAATGGAGTTTATCGATTACGCTCTCATTTGGTGGGATCAATTGTTGATCAGTAGACGAAGAACTGGTGAAGGTCCAGTGAACACATGGACAGAAATGAAGCGAATCATGAGGAAACGGTTTGTTCCATTTCATTATCAACGTGATTTATTTCAAAAGTTACAAAACTTGAAACAGGGAAATCGAAGTGTTGAAGATTATTTCAAGGAAATGGAAATGGCCATGATGCGTGCAAACATGAAGGAAGATAAAGAAGCAACTATGGCACGTTTTCTTGCAGGGTTGAATTTTGAGATTGCTAACGTTGTTGAGTTACAGCATTATGTCGAGTTGGATGACATGGTGCATATGGCCATCAAAATTGAAAGACAACAGCGTAGAAAGTCTTCTTACCGAGGTAATACTCCTTCTAAAGTTTCCTTTAATCCATCTGTTACTCCTAATAATGCTAGGAAGCAAACACCATTTAAGATTAAGGAAAGAGCGGAAACGAGTAGTCCAAAACCTCCCGTTGTTGAAAATGGACGAGGAAAGCAACAAATACAAACAGAACGCACAAGAGACATCCAATGTTTCAAATGCCTTGGTAGAGGGCATATTGCAAGTCAATGTCCTAACCGAAGGACAATGATGACACGTATGAATGGGGAAATAGAATCCGAATCTGACAATGATGAGCAAGACACCCCTTTGATGGACGATAATGAAGATGACGATCAAGTACAGACTTATGCAACCGGAGAAGCACTTGTGGTTAAAAGAAGCTTGAATGCACAACCAATCCGAGATGAACAACAACGCGAGAACATCTTTCACACAAGATGTCTTGTGAATGACAAGGTATGTGTTGTAATTATCGATAGCGGTAGTTGTACTAACGTTGCAAGTACTGTTATGGTTGATAAGCTAGGTCTGAAGACAACGAAGCATCCCAATCCATACAAACTACAGTGGTTGAATGATGCGGGAGAGCTAAGGGTTACCAAACAAGTTCTTGTACCATTTTCCATTGGAAAATACAAGGATGAAGTAACGTGTGACGTTGTGTCGATGGATGCCACTCACTTATTGTTGGGACGTCCATGGCAGTTTGACAAGAAGGTAATGCATGATGGATTCACCAATAGATATTCGTTTATGAATGCAGGAAAACAAATCACTTTAGCCCCTTTGATGCCGTGTCCTTGTGAGCTATGAATGCATGATATAGTGAACTTTAATATTTAAATATTAAAACTAAAATGAGTGCACATGAATTAATTAAAAATAAATGATAACATGCTGTTATGTTTAATATGAATACAAAAACGTGCTCAACAATATGAATGCACATGAATGGTAATTATAATTAAAAGAAAACATGATGTTGTGCTTAACAATGTGAAAATTACTAGCATTAAAATGAATGCATGGAATCACACGAATGCATGTTGCTTATTATTAAAATATGCTTAGATGAATGCATATGCAAATATAACAATATGGATATGATGATGATAAGTATGCTAAATGATGTTCATTCAAAATTAACATGAAATAATTAATATGCATGAATGATATGAAAAACTTATCCTACATGTTGATCATACTTAAATACTTATATGCAAGACATGTAATGCATAAATAAGTAAATATAAAATAAAATAAGGAAGAGCTCCCTTAGATTGATCTTGATAGAACTTCCTTGACGTGTTTACGTCATGGAGGAAGTCGGAGCTAAACAGGATCGTATCAAAAAGAAGGTTAGGCTTGCTACTATGGAATTCGTGGACTATGCCTTAGTTTGGTGGGACTAATTGGTGAGTTCAAGAAGACGAAATGGTGAACGCCCCATCACAACATGGGATGAAATGAAGGCCATTATGAGGAAAAGGTTTGTTCCTACTCACTATCACCGAGATCTTTATCATAAATTACAAAATTTGAAACAAGGAAGCAAGAACGTTGAAGATTATTTCAAAGAAATGGAGATTGCCAAGATCCAAGCCAATGTGGATGAAGATAGAGAAGCAACAATGGCAAGATTCTTATCTGGCCTAAATCTTGATATTGCTAACCTTGTTGAACTTCAGCATTATGTAGAGATTGAAGAAATGGTGCATGTGGCCATGAAAATTGAAAGACAACTCAAAAGGAAATCCTACACTAGGAGCAGTCCAAATTCGGCCACCAAATGGAAGCAAGAACCTATTACTTTCCGAAAGCAAACTCCATTCCAAACAAAGGATCGTGTAGAAGTACCTAAAACTACACAAGTGGGCGAATCTAGCAAGGGTAAAGAAAAGCAGACCAGCACTTTTGAGAGATCAAGAGACATCAAATATTTCAAGTGTTTTGGAAAAGGACATGTTGCTAGTCAATGTCCCAACCGAAATACCATGATGGTGCTTGATAATGGAGCTATTGTATCAGATTCTGATGATCCTATTTTTGACGAGGAACCTGAAATAATACAAGAAGAAGAAACGGAAGAAAATGCAGATCATGGTGAGATGCTTGTTTCAAAGAGGTGCCTACAATCAAAAACATCCCAAGATGATATTCAGAGAAACAATATCTTTCATACAAGATGCCATGTCAAGGATAAGGTTTGCACAATGATCATCGATGGAGGAAGTTGCACAAACGTAGCCAGCACTCTTATGGTTGAAAAACTTGGATTGGCAACGTCAAAACATCCTACTCCATATAAACTCCAATGGCTCAATGAAGGAGGTGAGTTAAATGTTACCAAACAGGTTCTAATTCCTTTCTCAGTTGGTAGGTACAAGGACGAGGTTCTTTGTGACATTATCCCTATGCATGCTAGCCACATCTTACTTGGGAGACCATGGCAGTATGAAAAAAGGGCCATTCATGATTGTTTTCACAATCAATACACTTTTAAGCATGATGGACGCAAGGTGACCTTGATGCCTTTAACGCCAAAAGAAGTATAACAGGATTAATTGCATATGCGAAAGAGTGTACAAGCATGGCGCAAAGACAAAACTCCGACGAAAAATGAAGAGGAACTAAACAAGAAACCAAACTTCTTCATAGAGATACAGGATGGTTCAATGCTGGAAAATGAAGGGTCACCTACGAAAAGTGGTGATGTTTGGAACTTAAAGTCACAACTCTTCACCAATGATTTTAATCTACAAAAGGTAAGTACCCCTTCATATGAAACCTTTTCTCTCCTCACTTTTCAGGACAATTCACGTGAAAGGTCACTTTCAAAAGGGATATCCCTAGATAAAGATCATTCCCAAAAGGTACCTGTTGGTAAATCATATTCCAAAGAAAGGCCTAAAGGAAAATCTTACAAAAGGGTATATAATGGAAGAACACAAACGTTCAAAGGATACTTTCTTTTAGTAAAGAGGCGTGAAGCTATGCAAGGACAGAATGGACTCGATTTGAGGACAAATCACCCTAAAGAAGGGGGGATGATGCAAGCACGTTTTCAACTGTAAAGGGAGTACTCTTGAACATCCTTTTAATGCATTTACTTTATAATAACCTTATAATATATACTATTATATTAGATATCATTTTAAGGATATTAGTTATGAAGTTAAAGAATAACTTAGTATGAATACATCGTACACATTGTTATTTTAATATGTTAAGCATGTTAGGATAGCTATATAATTATATTATGCATGATTATAACATATACATCAAGGCAGCATACTTATAATGCATTTCATTAGTTCATTTGCATTCATATTAGCTCTTAGGCTTTATACCTTACCTTACACATATTAGGAGATGATATAATTAGCTCATGACATTCAAACTTAGCTCACATTACCATAATCAAACATGGCAGCAAGGTAATTAGCTCAGTTTAGCTCAATAC